TGAGTACTCTGTTGGTCAGTTGAAGGAGTTTGAGGGTAAGAAGCTTGTTTCTGCAACAAAAGAAGGGCTGAAGCTTGAAGAGAGCGAGGATGAGAAGAAAAAGAGTGAAGAGCTGAAGGCAAAGTTTGAGGGTCTGTGCAAGGTGATCAAGGATATCCTTGGGGACAAGGTTGAAAAGGTTGTTGTCTCTGACCGTGTTGTGGACTCTCCCTGCTGTTTGGTCACTGGAGAGTACGGTTGGACTGCAAACATGGAGAGGATCATGAAGGCGCAAGCTCTAAGAGATGCCAGTATGGCCGGGTATATGTCAAGCAAGAAGACAATGGAGATCAACCCTGAAAACCCCATCATGGAAGAGCTGAGGAAAAGAGCTGATGCTGACAAGAACGACAAGTCTGTGAAGGATCTGGTACTGCTGTTGTTTGAGACTGCTCTGTTGACTTCCGGTTTCACTCTGGATGAGCCCAACACCTTTGGGAACAGGATTCACAGGATGTTGAAGCTTGGGTTGAGCATTGACGATGATGATGCTGTGCCTGCTGACGATGAGATGCCGGCTTTGGAGGACAATGATGCTGATGCGGAGGGCAGCAAGATGGAGGAAGTTGATTAAGTTTCTGACCCGTTCTAGTTTTGTCTTTTGTTAGTGTTTTCTTATTTAGTCTCTCGATATGAGTTCCTTATACATATTGTCAGACTGGTCTTTTTGTTACTTTGGCATGTTACTAAATTGATGCTATTTGTGGACACCTCCTAATTCATCCTGTTTGTGGATCTCTCTGTTCATCGATGCTTCTTATTCAATCTTTTGCTCCTTGATGTGGCAAGCCTAATGGTTGGGTCTCGTTCAAGAAATTATACCTCTTTAATTTTCGTAGTTCTTGGTATAGTAATTTGTCAATACAACAAAACGTTAAGATACGGGTACTGCATAAACTTCGCAAAACAAAATTTTACTATCATCCTCTTGACAAATTTGCTACAAAAACGTAGTGTAAACACTATCAGCCACTCATGACAAATTTTAATTAACCGTGTTTAATCAAATAACTTGGGATAAATAATAAACTGTGTGTTTAATAAATTAACTTAAAATAAATAATAAACTGTGTGTTTAATAAATGAACTTAAAATAAATAATAAATTGTGTGTTGAATAAAAATTTGTTTATAAAGAAATTAACGATGTGCACCCCTTGTTCTCTTGGCTACCACCACGAAGTGGAGATGAAGTGTGAAGTCACAAAATAACGTGATTCGAGCATTGTGCCAAATGGGTGGTACCATCACAACCGTCTGGCACAAGCTAGTCAGGTATGTGCCGCTTTAATCTAACCAACGATATCCTCATTTGGCAAAGTGATGTAACCGCCAATGTCACAACACAAGTGGGGAAACTTCTATTTCTCTTATTCTAACAATACTCCCCTAACCTCTTATGTATGAGGTTAGGAGAGTTAACTCTGGGAGATCATCCTCAGAGTTAACCTTCGAAACATGGGTCAAAGAAAAATAGAAAGATAGAAGCAGAAGTGGAAGGACATGAGCAATGGTGCTACTACATCTTCAACGGATCTTTAAGTGAAATGACATTAGCAATGGTGTTACAGAAGTGAAACATGTTGCTACTACATCTTCAACTAATCTACAAGTTGAGAGGATGTGATTACTTGTGCATCTGATGATACTGATTGCACTTCTGGTAATTTTGGAGTTTTGAGGATGGATAATGATTGTGACATTGGGGATGTGTGTTTGAGGACTAGTAATGACAGTGAGTTACTTCTTAGAAGTGTTAAGCATTCTCCATATATTCAATTGAAATTTAATCTCAGTCATTAAACTCGGCGGTGATGGTTTCCTCAGTGATACCATCACTGAGTGAAAGCTCTCAAAGGATTCTTTAGTTGTAGTTTGCGGAAAGAAAATTTCTTCTTGTCTTCAATAAACCAGTGTCAATGTGGCATAGGCGGCTGAGTCACGTTAGTGAGAAAAGACTTAATTATTTAATCTCAAATGGTGCAATTTCTAGATTTAGTACTACAAAGTTGGATAAATGTGATCATGGTATGGAGGATAGCAGAAAATAGAGTGTTTCAAGTATCACCCTCCTAGAAAATCAGGTTTGTTAGACTTGATTCATTCTCAAAGTTTATAACTTTCATTGATAATAAAATTTGTGGGTTTACATTAGGTTCTGGATAAGTTTAAGTAATTCCAGATTTCTATTGAGAGACATATAGGTAAGAAAGTTAACTCCATTCGAGCACATAATGGTGATGACTAATCTGGTCTATTCGATCAATATTGCAAAGAGTAAGGTATCAGACATCAAAAGACACATCTTAAGACTGAATGGTTTTAGATTATTGGATACATTGTATATGTTTGGATTTTGCTTGGGTGTTAATATAATTTACATTTCATCCAAAAAAAATAAGACTCTGAATGGTTTATCAGAAAGGATGAACAGAGTGGACCTATCTTGTAACTGTTCTGGATTATGATGAAACTTGAGTGGACCTAATGGCCCTATGGATTTTACTCCTCAATTTGTAGTCTGTAGAGGTGTTCCACGTAAAATCCTTGTATTGTCTGCTTAATTGCCTTTCATTTAGTGTCTTTTATAATTGTTATCACATTGCCCTTTTTTATATTATGGGAAACTGATATACTCAAGATAGAGAGATTTACTCAAGATATTTAGTATCGTTTATTGGTTTACTTGGACAGTTGTGGCTCCCTTAATATGTTGAGACTCAACTGACATTGGCCACCACAACAACAACAACATCCAAGTCTTAGTCCCAAACGATATTGGGGTCGGCTAACATGAATCGATACATGATATCACCAAAAGGAAAAGAAAGAAAATAGAAATAAAAAAGATAAGCTATTATAAAAAAAAAGATAATATAAAAGAGATGAATATCCATATAAACGATAAAATAAAAAGGATAAAATGATATTTATATATAAGGATAAAAATATATTAAAAAAAAGAGAAAAAAAAAAAGAAAAAAAGAGGGGAAAAGATGATATAAGATCACTCCTCCACACGAATATCCGCTCTCCATTTTGCTCTCTCCAAAGCCATACGCTCATCCAATCCAAGAAGAAGCATATCACTTCTGACTCCCTAACCCACGTCTGTTTGGGTATTCCTCTCCCTCTTTTCCCTGCCTCTTCTCCACACATCTCAACTCGTCTGACAGATGCGTCACTCGCGGTCTTTTATGCACATGACCAAACCCCCGTAGGCGCGACTCCCTCATTCAACTGACATTGGCCGTTTATAAAAACAAATATTGGGTTAAAAGACCTTTGTAGAACTATATGTGACCTACGGGTTGATAAACATGGATTTTCTTAGCACAACCATGATGCACCAGATTCATATTGAAATATTTGAGATTGATGTTGTCACAACTAACTCCTGCGGGAGGAACACTAAGTAGATGTTTACAAATCTAAAGAGTTTCTACAATAACATACACAATTACGCTATATTCACTTTCAATAGGGAACTTACACACAATCAACACTTTCTTCAAATGCCAGAGAAGTATATTTTGACCTAAAATAGCATTATAATAGTCACTGTAGCAGTTCCTCAACATCCAACCCATTTAGCATGTGAATAAGAAATGATAAGTCGAGGATCACGTGCATGTGAGTGGTGCGGATATAAAAATTATGTTTGATAGTGTGCATGTGAGTGACGTGAGGAGCATGCATAAATAAAAATATCATAAGAACTGTATAAGAAATGGAACAACCATAGAAGAAGAGATGGGTGTGGCCGAGGAAGTGGATTGAAACACACTGCTTATTAATTGCAGGTAAGAATGAGATGAACCGTAAAGGAATGGTCAAACTTTGGAGTGGACTGTGACAAATGTGATCAATAGATGTAATTTAAGTTTATGTAAATAAGTATTGGCTATAATACCATTAATACCATGCAGATAAGTTTATGATATATAATAGCTGAAATTTTGAACAAGAGTAGTTACATGAATTTGTCCTCTACATACACACTAATACTATAATCTTTATATATTTTTATACGATCAAGTAATTTGTTAGACTATGCTGTCTAACTTTGTAAGTGGGGATTATAAGCCTTTTAAAAGGTGTAATGAAGAAGATAATTTTTCTCATGTGAAATCCAACTCAAATAATTGAACATATGCAAACCTATTGAACATATGCAAACCCAAGAGATGTAAGTTTCTATGTTTATTTCTTTTTTTCTTGCTGGTATTTGTTTTCAAATATAAACACATCCTAGAATATTTTAAACTAGGGGTGGACTCGGGTCGGGCGGCCCGCCCCAGAACCGGCCCGAACCGGTCACTGTTTGAACCGGCCCGAACCGCCGCCCCAGGCCAGGGACCAGTCCGGGTAGGCCCGACCCGCTGGGGTTCCGGTCCGGGCTCAGGCCCCTCAAAAGGTGAACCGGCCCGGCCGGTTCGGGCCCGGTTCGGGCCAATTTTTTTTTTTTTTGAATTTTCTTTAAGTTTTTGGGTTGGGCTGAGTATTTTGGGCCATTTGAGGTGGTTTGGGGGTGAGGGGTGAGGGTTGGGGGTTAATTAGGAAAAGCAAAAAAAAAAATGAATCGAGTCCCGGCCCGAACCGGACCCGGGGGTTACCCGAGCCGGTTCCGGGCCTCCCCTTTCATGAACCAAGGCCCGGCCGGGCCCAGGCCCGAACCGGCCCGAGTCCACCCCTATTTTAAACTACACAAAGGCATGTAGTTTGTTATCAATTCAGTATTTTGAAGGTTTACACATTTGAATAGGAAAAAAACTTTTTCGGCCACAGGTAATGCTCATCTCCATTTCTTTTTCACTCTATTTGTCTTCTAAAAAAAATAATTAAACATAATCTTTTCTTTTTCTCTACCCCACCATTTATCCACCTCTCTCTATCTCTCTCCTAATAAAGATTTTCAGTTAATGGAGAGGAGCAAAATTCCTCAAGTGGAATTGTGGAAATGAGCTATCTGAGAAGGACGCATATTTTTTGGTAACAGTTTGAAATGTGTCAAAAGAAAGCACATACTTCGTATACAATAACTCAACAAGAATATTGATTAACTAAACTACACTTCCCCACAAAATTACATATATGAAGACAGCTCTCCCAATGAGATAATGCAAGAAGTCTCACCACACACACAAAAAAAAAACATTACAGAACAGTTCACAGAAAAATTTGTACTAACAATATACAAAACCAAGCACCACAACTATCTTATCTTACTCATATACACCTAACAATAATGGTTTAAAAAAATGAGTATGCACATTGTGAGTTCACCAAGCTTTGCGCCTTTGATCCCAACAATGACTTGAAACATAGTTTTAAGTGGCAAGAAGTAAATAAACCAGACACTATGCATCCTTTTTCTTTTGTCCTTCCAAAACAAATTCTGCATATAGATCTTTAATCCCAATCACAACAGTCGTAATCAGTGGTCCCATTATTGCTCCCTGCATCCCACAACAAATCCAGCTTTGTTTGAGTAACTTAACCAACTAAATAATTAAATATACCAGGACAATAATGGATAACAGTATAAACATGAAGGAAATGATGCTGCTTCTCAACTAATTAAATTTGATTCAATTTTTTTCTTGTAACTGAAAATATATTATTAATCTACAAGACTACAAGTATAAAAAATAATAATGTCAAACTATGTAAGTTAAGAAAAAATGTGAATGAAATTAAGGAAACAGATCTCTCCCAAACACCTCCAAATGGAGGGAGTGAGGGAATAAACAAGAGTTTGAAATCATTAAAAAAACATCTCTAAAAAATCTCTAAAAAACGCATCAAACATGTTTCGTGACAAAACAATGAAATCATTAAATCAAGCCACTGCCAAAGATACTTTTATTCAGGACAAAAACAAAGATGCTTATAATGTACCTCAATTGCTGAGGGGAACAAAGTCATCCCCCCGATAATGCTAAGACCAGTGAGATATGCACTATGATGTCCAGGAACATCCTCATGTATCTCACTGCCACCAAAATCCATGAGCACAAGATGAATGGTTGATATGCTGATCGCCAGGACGTATCTCCCTTCCAAGACCAACTGCAACGCCGCCGGAACAGTCGATATCCACGAGGGCAGAAGTGGAAACAAAGAACTTAAGAATGCAAGCAGTGTCGACATGTACAAGAAGTGTATAGAGAACAATCTAAAAAGGAGCCACGTCAGACACCCCTGAAAGAAAGCAATCTGTACAGCTGCCAATAGTACCCCTGAGATGGCCTTGTCAAGAACCTCCACACACCGAGTCCTCGCGGAGGGTGAAATGGGGAGCATGTTCATAACCTGCTCTGTCACTCCACCTGATTCTGATGTGATAAGATAATGGAGAACCCAAAAGAAGACCATTGACTGGGACACAAAATTGAAAATCCCAGCGGCTCCAGAAACTATGGAATTACAGACCACAAACACGACCCTAACGCTCCCACCCAAAACAGATTTACTGCTAATCAACACACGTTGCATCACGTTCACTCCTTGAAGTGCAAACCCTTTTGCCTTGTCGACCAAATCCTGCCGGGTAATCAACACCTCCCTGAAAAGAACATCCACTTCAGAGTATATTTGTCCCCATTCCCGTTCCTTAATCCGCCTCTTCAGGCTTAACATCTTTTCTGTGTACCTGGATGAAGGAGCCAAAACCGTGGACCGCTCTGAAGACGATGGCGAAGATGCTGTCACAAACTGTTTAATCCCAGAAACAAACTCGGTCATGTTGTATTGTGACGCGTAGCTATCGATCTGATCAGAAACAGTGTCATATATCTGAGTCATATACTTATCAACCATTCCAGTCACGTCGTTCTCATCCATCCATTTTTTAACACCGATTCTCTCAGCGTAATTGCTCTCTTCTACGTGTGATTTGATACGAAAAACAGCATCTTTTCCTTCAACCCCAATCTTATATGAAAAGAATATAACACCAGACAAAGAACCAACGCTCAGCCCGACAATCAATCCGATTGCCACTATGGTCTTAAGCCTTTTTAATATCCCCCGAGTGAAGAAAGAACTGATGGGCAAACGGCGGAAGCTATGACTTCTGAGATTAGTGACTGCATTCATGGTGGAATCAACACCCGAAGATGAAAACAAGAACCCTAAAGCAAGGAGTGCTATGGAGCTCGCACCCCCAATTAGCTCATACGCAATGACGAACACCCAGAAGGAGACTAGCAATCTCAGCAGTCTGAAGAACCCGCTTCTACGCCGCCTAATTTGACCTAGCCTGTTTTTCCTTTGAACAACCCCTAGGACCTTCTCCTTGATGTCAACAAGGGTTCCAACGAAAACCCTGAAAATAGCCACAGGGATGGCCAAAAAGGTCTCAGTGAGTCCAAGTTTGAGGGGCTCAGACCAAAAGGAAACAAGGGTCTGTTGAATTCCCCTCAATGGGATCGAACAGAGTACCGTAAAGAATGAAAAGCCCATAGAAAGGGCCTCAGATATTCTTCCAGCAATTTACAAATACCGTAAAGGATGAAAAGCATGAGCGCAAACCCAGCGTGTGCCATGGCTATGTAGATAGCAAGGCGTACCTGTGGATCCCATGAGCTGTCCCCAGAGGAGGAGGAGCAGGAAGAAGACTTCGGCAGGGACGGGTTCTGTGGACACGGGTCGGGTTTTCTCAGGGACGCAGACCGAAACATTTCCTGCCATGCCGGAGAAGCATTGGCGGCAGTTTCGGGTTCTCTCTGGTCCGAAACCCCTACCAGTCCCATTCACGCGCCTTCTGCGGAGTATTTCCTGGTTGTCGGTGGGGCTTTGGTCTCGGAAGAGAGATTATGAAGGAAGGATGTGAGGAAATGCGGTGCCCCGTCCGCTTAGCTGGAAATGGAAGGTGCAGACTTGGGAGTTCCTTGATTGAGCAGGAGGCAGGCTGGTTCAATCAGACACCCCTCCCGTTTCCTCATATTCCTCTGTCACACAAAATCGGTTAAACTTTTTTAAGAAATGGTCCAAAATGGGACTAAATGGACTGAACTCTTAAATGGGATTTCAAGTTTTTTATTCCTTAAATAGGACTCCAGATTACTCTTTTACCTTTCCTCTTATTAAACTCAACTTCGCCTGCTCTGTTCTGCGATATCTTTCGCGCCCAGCTCTTACGATTTCTCCCATAGGCGCCATCAATAGCAGCTCTCCAGATCGAAGCTTCCCAGGCCATTGGCGAAATCAATAGTAGCTCTCCAAATCCAAGCTGCCGCAGGTTCCTCCAAAGATTAGAGGAAGAGGAGGATGATAGTCTCTTCGAATTTCTGATCCTTTATTCTCTTCTTCTTTGAATCTTTATGGATTTTGAATTTTATATATTAATTTGGATTTTTTTATTTGAATTATATTTATTCAACAAAATGTCACTTTTATAATTTGAGAATGTCAAAATTATTGGTTATTTGAAAACACTGCCACATATGTGACAGTATATTTAGCAGTATGACAATATGAAAATGTCATATGTGCATAAGAAAATGTCATTCTTATGACATTTTATGGCATTTTTTATGGGTTATCTAAGAATGTCATAACTACTTGTATTAGAAATGGCATGTTTTTTGACATGTTTTCTCAATGATGTCAAAATTATCATCCTTAAATTGCCATTATTTTTCATCTAAAAATTCATATTTTTACAATTGAGAATGTCATGTCTTTATATGAAACTTCCAACATCATGGCATTTTCGGAAATAATATTGCTAAAAATGACAACATTTGGAAATCCATTCAAAAAACATGTCATTAAAATATTGACATCTTGATATAATATAATGACATAAAAATGACATTTTTCTAATAACAAGCATTTATGGCATTTTCATAAACAAATCTAATCAAAACTAAAAAAAAGTAATAAAAATCCAAATCCAAATATTTCCGATCATGACCGTTCGTCGAATTGTAGTTTTTATCTCAAGCTTTCATATCCAAAATAGTATTTTTGATTTATAATCTGAAATAGTAAATGAATTAACAATAAACAAATTTAAAAATGAAGAAATAAGGATCTGGAAGAAGAAGGTGAGAAGAAGAGGAGGAAGAAGAACGAAGAAGAAGAAAGAGGAAGAAAGGAGAAGGAAGAAGAATGGAAAGAGGAAGAAGAGATTACCTGGTGCGCTCTATCGGACCGGATTATGCGGCAATGTAATCGTCAATGGTAGTCTGCTGGTTGAGTACTGGAGTGATAATCATTAATGGTATTTTTGTCTAATTAGGTAATTTGTAGTCCTAGTTTTGCATTTGTTCCAAGTTTTAGTCTTATCACGGTCATTCTCTCAACTTTTTTGGTGAGGCAAGTACGAAAAAAGTATTTACATTTATTAAGAGCCCGTTTGGTAGTTTACACATTAAAACTTTACATGTAAAGTGATTACATGTAAAGTTTAGGGCCGTAAAATAGTTTGCGCGTAAAATAGAAATGCATCATTTGGCATGTATGTAATCTACTTTTAAATTACACGCAAACCCTTTACATTGTATGTAGAAAATAAATACATAACTCATTCAACGTGCCAGAGAACTTCTAATTAACCAGCAGAGAACTTCAAATCTAATTGATGATTGACCTGAAACTTTTAATTTTGAGAACTACAAAATTGTAACTTTATTTGAAGCTACCAAAGGATTAATTCCAATGTCAAAGATTCTCCAAATTCCAAATCCCATAAAGGTTCGCTCCTGGAAGATGTCGAAGAAGAACAATGGTGTGTCTTACCTCTCCTTTCCTATAGGTGATCCCTGATTATTGAAAAAGGCAACATGATAACAGATGAGTGATGAGTCTGTTAGCCAGCGTTCTAGGTCTCAATCGCAATTCAATGTTCCGTATGTTTATTCTTGCTCCAATAAATGGATGTAAACTATTTTACTACCTCCTACCCACGTAGGGTTGGACTCGGGCCGGGCGGCCCGACCCGGGCCCGGTCACTGTTTGGCCCGGCCCGGCCCGGCCCGGTGGGTCCACCGGTTCGGTTTGGCCCGGCCCGGGTGCTGGGTGGTCCGGGCTCGGGCCCAGGTTTTGGTGAACCGGCCCGGCCGGTTCGGGCCCGGTCTGGGCCGGATTTTAATTTTTTTTTTTTTGAAATTTTTTTAAGTTTTAGGTTGGATTAGGTATTTTGGGCCATTTGAGGTGGTTTGGGATGGTTTGGGGTTGAGGGGGAGGGATAGGGGATTAAATAGGAGAACAAAAAAAAAATAATTGGGCCGGTTCGGCCCGGCCCGGCCCGACCCGGTTTGGCCCGGAACCGGAACCGGCCACCGGCGGTTCGGGCTCGGGCCTCCCCTTTCCTGGCCCGAGGCCCGGCCGGGCCCAGGCCCGAACCGGGCCCGAACCGGCCCCGAACCGGCCCGAGTCCAGCCCTATACCCACGTAAACTATTTCACGTGTAAAATGCTTTTAAAAAGTGACTTACAATTTGCACTAAATAATTAAAACAATCGATGTAAAATGTTTACTTCCCCGCACTTTACACGCAAAGTGTTTACTTTACGTCATAACAAACGGGCCCGAAGTAGTTTGAGAGCTTCTCTTCAAGGTTATAAACTTTAATCTTGAAATCGCATTTGAGGGCGACTTCAAAGTTGGAGTCGCACTCTTTATGGTCCTATAGTAAATTAGTAATCATAGCTAAGACTTCTTGTAATAGTCTTAAGAGCATTTGAGTTCTTTCATATCTCCATCGTGAAGAAGAAAAAATTACCCTACCTTAGAAAATTGGAATCTTTATCAACATGGACTGAAAATCGTTACATATTTTGAAAAATGTGAAATTACATAATATTCTTAAAAGAATGACAATGTATAAGTAATAATGACAGTCATTTCGAATGTTACCATGAAGTGCAAACTTCCTACCATTCCTTTAGTGAAAAATTAAGTAAGGGAAGAGTTGTAAAAGTATCAAAAGTTACACATGTCTAAAGGTGAATATGATATTTGGGTAAATATTATGGTCGATCAATTTGAGCCTTTGTAGAAGATACATGATTCATTCTTTGAGATACTTGGTTCATTCGAAACCGACTTAACTTAATCGACCTGATTTATGATTGAATATTTTGAAAATGCAGAACATATCTGGGGTTATTTTAAATCAATTTAATACCTAAACATACATTATGTACAATATTCATTGGTTAATCTAGTGTAAAATTCCGATTAGCAGTAGTATGTTTTTTAAACCCTTAGGTCGATCACGTTTAGTCAACCAATACATTGGTAATATGACGCCCAAGTTTACTCGACCATTGTAACTCGACCGATATAGTCGACATATTTTTAGTTGACTAGTTGTTATTTATTGTTTATTGTGCATGTTCCTTCCCTATCTCCACTTGTTGACAACTTACAATTTTCATCTATTGCAGAATGAGTAGAACCCCTTGAGGGAAACATTTACATTATGTACAATTTATACAAGAGTGGTTTGAGTAATAATGGTGATGGAGTATATGGACTCCGTCCCCTCGGTCTGCCGACTATTGGGCCTGGACAGCGGCCCACACACATTTTGCGGATTCATATTATTGTACATTACTATTATTAAGATGTTCTAGATTAGCTTTTTATACTATCAGTCCATTTTTGTAACCGGGTCTGTCAGGCTCATATTAGAGGCCCAGACCCGGATTTTCCCTATATATACTCCTTATAGGAGGCTTGTAAACCATAACCAATATTAATTCATTCTACACACTTTCATTATTCTTTCTCCATTCTTGTTCAATCTCTCCTTAGTTAAAGGATATGGGTATCAATTATCCAACAATGGTGCTTTCATTGAGGGAATAAGGGGAGTATTTAGAGGATTTTGTGGGATATACAAATCAACTACTAATTACAAGTCATATAAATATGGTATGCTATTACACCGTCGTAACAAGAGAAGGAGTAAGGACAAATGTTGAGACTATCACTAAAGCGAAAGATAACTGTCGAGGAAGGCCTTTAGTGTATATATCAGCATATTGATACTCAGTAAGAATATGCAGAACCCGAATTTCTCCCAGATGAACTTGTTCTCGAACTAAGTGAATGTCAATTTCAATGTCCTTTGTGTGTTGATGTTGAACAGGATTGCTCGAGAGATATACAAGACTAATGTTATCACAGTAGACGATAATAGCTCATCGAAGAGGGGGATGAAGTTCGAGAAGGAGATTGTGTGACCAACAAGACTCAGCAACAACATTGGCAACTCTTCTATATTCATCTTCGGCACTGGAGTGGGAGACAGTAGGTTGTCGTTTAAAAGACCACTGAATGAGGTTTTCTCCAAGAAAAATACAAAATCAAGAAGTTGATCGTCGAGAATCCGGGCAGTCGGCCCAATTAACATCAGAGTAAGCAGTGAGACCGGAGATACGTCCGGAGGAGATGAAGAGTCCATGAACAATTGTACCTTTTAAATAACGTATGATTCGCTTGAGCGTCTAAGAAGAGGTTCGTGTGGATCATGCATAAATAAGCACACTTGCTGGACTGCAAAAGAAACACTACAAACAAAGTAACATTTATTGACACACAAAAAGTGTTGAGAAAAATAGGAAAAGTGTCAAGATAGACACCCCTAGGGAATTGCCAACACACTTGAAAAGTGTCAAGAGGAAAGGTGTTAGGAAAACTCATTACTAACACTCATATACAAGTGTTGGTAAATCTCTATATAGCTTTAGTGACACACAATTGATCCAAACCTTACACAATTTCTGTGTGTCAAGGAAGCTTTAAGGTGACACTCGAGTGTTAAGAAAAATCACGTTGAATAATCGTTTCTGGACAATACGCTAAATATAATTATTTCTATTATCGTATACGTTTGTAACATCAATGTAGGATATTATAAACTATTTTCATACTAAAACATTCAAATTCAAATAAGTATGTAGTATGTTATTCAAATTTATTTAAAAATCAATACAAACTAAGTAGAGAAGA